TGGAAGAACCAAAAGCAAAGCAGTCCGATACTTCAGTGATGATCGTTGATAATTCCACAAGTAATTTTCCCAGCACTTTTTTATGTTGTTGACATGCAATCTCTAGTTTTGTGGATGTTGATTGAATTTTATTCTGGTGGATAGTCCCAAGCCGCAGGATGAAGAAACGCAGGGTCTACGCCTCCCACGGGAGACGTAGGCCTCAAGTAGTTAGGCGTAAGTCTACACTGTTTAGTTGTTGACAAACTATCCTTAGTTCGTATAATAAATTATCTATCTCCATATCTTAAGTTAACCAAGAAAGTATCTAAATTGATGTCTCTGTTTTATCTGCTCTTGCATTATAGTGTTTTTTTGTTTCAGTGAAGTATAAGCATGTTGAGTTTTTCTCTCTTTCTTTCAGAAACACGTCTTAAACTCGCACCTGCGACTGAAGGTGACAGCCAACAGCTGAAGTGGTTTTGTGATGCATGTAAAGGAATTCCACAGGTAATGTCAAAAACAACATCCATTGGATCTACTGAGGATTTTTTTTTTCATTTCTTCCTTATTTGGTTCTAAATATTGAAACTCGCTTGGAATATATGCTACAGCCGATGCGTCCACCGGTCTTTCTCCAAACAGCACCATCTGCTCCACCACCACCATCAGAAGATGAACTAGCCATGGCAATGAACGCCTCACTTCACACTACTATGAGTGACCCATCAAATCTCAATCACCATTCCATCGGTCAAGCAAGTTCCTCATCCGTTCCAAGCTCATCAACCGCACCTCCCTCAGGAAAAGCAAGCGCCTTTGTGTTCAATAGCCATGGAATTGGCATTGTCCTAGAATCTTCACCATCAGCTCCTCCATTGACAGATGATAATATATCAACAGTAGACGAAGGTCCAATTCATTACCCATCGATCGATTCAACACCCGTCGATCTCCCATCTGCTTCTTCTCTTCCAGCTCCAACCGAAGGTGAAAGGAAAGAAGACGGGAGCACTGGAACATGTGCGATATGTCTAGATGCTCCATCTGAAGCAGTATGTGTCCCGTGTGGACATGTCGCGGGATGTATGTCTTGCTTGAAGGAGATCAAATCCAAGAATTGGGGATGTCCGGTTTGTCGCGCCAAGATCGATCAGGTTATTAAGTTGTACCGTGTCTGAGAACAGGTACAAACTCCATGGGATTATCTCTAAATCCTTCATTGTCTGTGAGATTAAACTTTTTCAACTATTGAAACTATATCTCTCTCTCTATTACACAGCCAAAATCAATACCCTGTTTTCTTATTATCGAAAGCTAAAACAGTGTTTATAATTTGGAACTTTAAAAAACAGTCCCAATATTTTGTATATATGTTTTTGGACAAAAGGAAGAATGTATCAATGTAAAGTGTGGTAATATATTTTGTATACAATATGTTTATTATATTTGAATTGATAATTATTGGTACATAAATATAATTTATTAAGAGTCTTAAATAATTGTAACAAATCTTGGATTGGTTCCCAAAAGTAAGAACAGCATATTTAATCATTGTACGGAAAAAGGTTGAATGGGTTAATAAACTATTTGTGGCTCAGGTAACTTTTAACTTTTCCGTTAATTACTCAACTTATCGTACGCTTTTTTTACATTCAGCAATTATTTCCACAATTAAATTTTTTTTTTGTCAACAGCTTTTAATTTAAAATTTAAAAAAATCATTTCTGAAAAATGTTGTTTACATATGTAATGTGATGCGATGCGGTTCGGTGCAAACTTTTTACGCTAAATTATCTGCTTTTACATTTGCACTTCGAGGGATTAAAGAAACAAAGTTCTTAAACAAAGTTCCACAATTAAATCTTATACTAGAAAGAAACAAAGTTCTTTCTATTATTATTTTTAATTACCAAATTGGCACTATTGATTATTTAATTTATAATTAGTTGTAATGGCATGTTGTTAAAACCAAAATACAAAACAAATAGTAATTTATTAATATATTGTTAAAACTTTTTAAATATATACATACATATATGTATGTAGGATTTACATATTCAATGGAAAAAATACTCCTTTGTTTGGAACTTAGAATAAAATAGTGAGCTATAAGTATAAGATAAAGATATCCCCACCACCAAATGTAGCATAAAGAGAAGCTTCATGTCATTGCTATTAATGGCATCAACTATAGACTAAAAGTTCTTATCAAAAGGAAAAAAAAAAAAAACTATAGGCTAGAAGTATCAAACACAACAAACAAAGTATAGACTATAGAGTACAAGTCTAAGACCATCTCCAATGCACACCTCTATATTTTCCTCTATTTTAGAGGAGATTTTGCTCCAAGGTATCTCTCTAAAATAGAGTTTTCTCTAAAATAGAGGAAAGAGACAATGAATTACTCTAAATAACTAATAACTCTCATCTGTGAGTGGTCGATAAAACGGATTTCCATTCAAAATTAAGTGATCTTTTTTTTGTTAAGGAATATCTAGTGATCTTAACTTTTATAAGCTCAATTATTATATAAAAGAAACAAATTATATCATATATATAACAACAATCCGTGGAATTTTTTAAAAAAACATCAATTGAAAAGGTGGTTTGTACAATCTACCAGACTTCCACTGTTTCATACACTTAGGTATAGAAAATTATAATTTTAATATATATACATGCTAATTTTAACGGTGCATTGCGGTTCCAATAGTAGCGAAAATGTTTGCATATATATATGTATGTATATATTTTTGTTACTATTAGAACCGCACCGTATTTTATCCACAGTTAAATCACACATCTTCATTCGGAGTTATCTTAAAAATATATATACAGCTACATTTTTCTTTTTTAAATAACAATAGAAAAATACATCTATTTTGTAAAAATTTCTGCTGTTGCTAAATAAATACACCTTTAAGAAAAATTATAAGTCTATTTTGTTTTTGTATAAGAACGAAAGATCCAAAAAAAAAAAAAAAAAACAAGTGAAAAAATGTCACATGGTCCACAACGACATGAAATGGAACAGTTGGATTTGATTGATTGACTCAACATTTCTCCTTCTTTATTAAGTAACCATTCAAAAACACACTTCACTGCTCATTTTTTCCCTCTCTGTCCCCATTCAGTTTTGTACCTCTGCCACAAGTTACCCCTTGCCGCTAACTTCTTTCAGGGGCCATCTCGTCTTTTGAATCCAGGTGTTGTCCACTCACGTAAAGACCCAAAGCCATCGTCACTATATTCTCTCTGCCCAACCCTACTACTACTAGTCTTTCCTCTAATTTAGTTATATTGTTGATCACTCACTAGATTTGATTCCATCTTTCTCATTTAACTATAAATTACTGTATTTGTCTAGATTTGTACAGGAGTGTGGAAATGAATCATTCATTAGCTTATAAGTTAGTCTAGCTTAGTTCAATTTTCATGAGTTCCAAATATATGTTTTTAAGGGTCATCCAGAAAAAGTCTTCCGTTTTATCCTACATTCGTTTCAAGCAAAATTTTTTTGTAAAACATATTTATGAATTTTTAAATTGAAGAAAATCAAAATGATCGTAATAGATTACGTAAACGTAAGAGAATAGGGTTTATGGTTCCTACCCATGTAACTAGGTCGGTTCCTTCTTCTCCGGTCCAAAGTATCAAGGAAGTGGGCGAACCAAAATTTGTTTTAAAGAAAGTTGTGTTGACTAAAAAATAGTGATGAGAATAAATGCGTTGGAAATTTTGTAGAGCGGTCAGTGATAACCAAAGAAAGGTAATAATCGAAGTGGTGAATAATTTCCATGTAAATTTAGGTCAAAGTCAAAGATCATTGATTTACCACTATGCAAATAAACATTTTAACAACTAGTAAAAAGTAATTATACTAGATAATAATTGATATCTTATATATATATATATATATATATATATATATATATATATATATATCTATTAAATTAACAGTCACTTTTACAATAATTGCTACTCTCTCTGGTTTAATTGTCCTACTTCAACAATGGAACAATATCTCCTCCAAAAATATTCGATGGTTTCATTCATCGTCTCTCCGACGGTTTCACTTCTTTAAGCAACTATGATATCCAATTTTGTTCTTCAAAATATATCCGCATTTGTTTCTATCAACCCCAAATTCTATATGATCGATCTCAATATATATAAAAACTTCTCTTTCTATTATGTATATATTTTGTGATTTCCATTCACACTAATCTTTACTGATATACCAGATTTTTAGAGTTTTTCTATTAAATACCGTTTATTGCAATGAGGACATTAATTTTGGCATTTTGTTTTTGCAGGAGAATAACTAGATCAATATGGAACAACAACAAGGTTAGTCATCTACTTCACAAGCATTAAAATTCATATTCTTCTATGTTAGACAATTTTATAAGCCTTTGTTTCTAATTCGTCTTCTCATATATTGGTATACTTTTCTCAGACGTTGACAAGATTTTTTCAGAAATAAGATCAAAGGTAATTTGCTCTTCTACTTTTCTATCATATTTTTTCCTTGCTTGGTTTTCTCATGAGTAGGACTCACTAACAAAATCTTCAACTTTGTCTCAGGTAGGCATCAGACATGACCCATCCAAAATCCATTGTGGAGAGATTGATGAATTAAATTATTACGATATGCATTATCTCACTTATAGCCCATTGATGCTATTTATGCCACTAAATTTCATTCATCTTATGAGTGACAATGATGGATGATGAAACATATAAGAAACAATACAAATTGAGTCATTATTTTTTGTTATTTAGGTTAAAATATGCTATTCATGATAGTCAAAATATTTTGCAGGTCCTTGAATTGGAAATTTGATTTCTTTTTTATTTTTCAATTTTAAGTAAACTGCAAGATAATAAGACCCTGCATAGTAGGAGCCATAACACTAGTTTGTTACTATATAACATTTTAACTGTTTTCGGTTAACAAAATAAAATAAAAAGTTAAATAAATAATCATATACCAAACCCTAAACCGTAAAATTCCCCCTTTTTACCTTCATCCACCAAACTATTCAAAGTCTTACACAAAAATAATGATTTAAGAGATATACGTAACATTAGTAGTGTTTAACTCAATCTCTATAGTCAAAAACAAGCTTGCATTATTATTTGTTCCACTGTTATTAGTCAAGCAAAAAATTAAATGGAAAAAAAGAAAGAAAGAATATTTATATGACTCCATTCAATTCACTCTTTTATAGCAATGACTACGATAGCCTCTCATCTTCTTTTTTTCTCTCCACCATCTTTCTCTTATCAACTTAAACTCACAAGTCTCCTCTCATCTTCATCATAACCTAAAAACAAAAAAAACCTTAGATTATCAGATCTTGATATCATGGATCCTATTCTCGGCTTTATGGGCACAACAAACATGTCACATAACACAAACCTTATGATCGCCGCCGCAGCCACAACCACCACCACCTCCTCGTCTTCCTCTTATTCCTCCGGCGGCTCGGGGACTAACCAGCTGAGCAGGTACGAGAATCAGAAGAGAAGAGATTGGAACACTTTCGGACAATATCTCCGCAACCACCGTCCACCACTTTCTCTCTCCCGTTGTAGTGGTGCTCATGTTCTTGAATTCCTCAGGTACCTCGACCAATTCGGCAAGACTAAGGTATAACATACTCACTTACATATGTTTATGTATCTCTTACATCAAAATACTATTTTTTGATAATTTCCACTGAAATAGATCCAAATGAAACCCTATGTATAATTTGAGTTTCTTTGACCTAAAACATATTTTTGTTCTAGTTGGGAGTAAAATTCTTAAAGATACTGTATTATCATTCTTATAAACGAGATCTCACTGATCTGCATATAATTTACCTCACTCGGGTTCTATATCTTTCAAATATTTTCATCTATCACCGACAAACAGTATTGCAATATGATTCTTAATTGTATTTATTCAAAAAGTTAACTCCATCATTATTAGCAAATAAATAAAATATATGGTCTATGATTCTTACTGTGATGATATATAGTTGTATATAGTCAAAAATGTTATTCAAACATTACAAGCACACAATATCTATATAGATTGAAAATGCTGAAGTTAAAACGCCACTTTGATCTTTGTATCGCTAGGTTCATACACACCTATGTCCGTTCTTCGGGCACCCAAACCCACCAGCACCATGTGCCTGTCCACTACGACAAGCGTGGGGTAGCCTCGACGCACTCATTGGTCGTCTTAGAGCCGCTTTTGAAGAGAACGGTGGTTCACCAGAGACGAACCCTTTTGGTGCACGAGCCGTTCGACTCTACCTAAGGGAAGTTCGTGACTCGCAGGCTAAAGCTCGTGGGATTAGCTATGAAAAGAAGAAGCGGAAGCGACCTCCCCCGCCGCTACCACCGGCTCAGCCGGCGATTTCAAGTAGCCCTAATTAGCACTAAGTCATGAGAAAAATGTTTCGATGAACTTATATAGTATTTGTCAATGACGAACATGCACGAGTTATTTTAAAGAACATGCCCTTTTTCTTCCTAATCCTCCTCCTTTATTTGGCAAGCTAAAGAATTTTTATGTTGTATTGAATAAATTTGTAATTCTTTTTGTTTGGCCTCACATAAGTATGGAATATGGATTAGTATATTTTTAATACATCCATTATTAGAAAAGTCATAAGTTTTATCTTAGAGACTTAGAGTGATCATACCACTAAATTAATGACCACATCTTTGTCATTTATTTGCAAAATTGAAAGATTATGATCATGTTGGCTCATTTATCGCATGTTTATAAAACATAATAACAATTTTGTATGCATCGCAAAAAGAAAAAGAAAAAGAAAAGAATAACTTAATTACGATTTAATTACCAACGTTTTTACTAGTTCTATGGTTCTACCTATACCAAATAAACCATTTCTTTTATTTATGCGTTTTCTCTACGCTATTCAAGTATACTTTATAGTCTATACTACTTCTTGAAGTTTTGATCAAGAATAAACTCATATTATCTAATTATTTCAAAACCTTATCTCTATAAATCGGTTGTTATTCATTTATTGATCAAGTTATACAAGAATACTAATGTTTTGTACAGGACACTATATATAGGGTTTGTTGTTGTTGTTGTTGTTGTTTAGGAATCCCAATGACCGAATATGAATTAGTATTACTTTTTTGTTTTATACTACTTAAGATATTCGGTGTAAAAAATCTTCATAATTAGCCTCTATTAATAGAACCAACTTATAGTAGAAGTTGAATATTATTGTAGTTCGATAAGACATGACAAAAGAAGGAAGATTTGCAGAATCAAATGGTTGTTCGTGTCTTTTCATGCTCTCTGTGTACGCCTTCCTTTGTAGCGTCCTAAATTGGTAGGGAATTGGCAAATCATTCAGTTTCTTGTCCTTGTTACCAAAAGTCTTTGCTTTCTTTTCTTTATAAAAATGTATATACTATTAATTTGTATCGGTAAATTTTTGATCTCATGTAGCTTTAGAGGTAAAGCAGGTCAATCACTTTGATTTACTCTAAACAAACAACTTGACCTCAATATTACCCACTGCCGGCCCTGTCAAATTTTGGGCCCAATACAATTTTTTTTTTATGGATTTTGTAGAAGAAATTTAAAATTTGAGATCAAATCTTAAAATTTCAAAAAAATTGGGGCATATTTTGCAATAACAAATAAATAAAATTTAAAAATTGAGACTAAATCTGAAAATTTTAGAAAAATGAGGCCTATATTTTACAATAATAAATATTTTTGAGGCCTCATTTTGATACAAAAAAATTTAAAAATTATTGCGGCGCAATACTTTTGTTTCTTAAAAATTGGTCACGGGCCGGGCCTGATATTACCAACCTTAATGTCAAATATTCTTTTGATTTTTTGACTAATATATATTGATGTTATCTAATTACTAACTTAAGCCTCAAATGTACACGATCAAAAGTCAGCCAGTCCTAAGCAACATTTACGATGATGAATAATGAAACAAAACACATACGAGTTGACAACAATTTGACAACTTTCAGAACCGAACTTTATGACGATAAACAACAATTGTTAGTCGATAATTATCATTTAACGAATGTTGGTACCAACAAATAAAGGGAAACATTACATTACATAGGTGCACTGCAGATTGATTGGTGGACCAAAGCGGGTCAGACCGCATCACACGCTCTCACCGTCTCATTTGTCATTTCATGTCATTGTCAGCTCTGCTCAAACGATAATTGGAAAGAAAAAAAAAAACTAGTTTTGCCTAAAAGACAGTTTTTCTCCTCCGTTAGATCTTCAACACGTGGCCCGATCTCTGCCGTGCCTGATTTCGCTCCCCGCTCAAGATGTGAAGAGCCCATTTATTTACAGGCTTTAGCCCATTTGTTTAACACCATTGCCGAATCAAACAACTATTGTTTTGTTTTAATTTACAAATGATTTATCCATGCTGTCGACTAAAATCAGGTAACTAGTGAGTTACAAAAAAAAAAAAAGCGACCATAACTTTTATTCGATTAAGTAAATAATTATGAACTTTTTACAGTAGACACACTATATTGGATGCTATTTTTATACTAAACAACATAAAATTAGAAAGATTAAATAAAATAAAGTTGACCATTGCTTGTAGTCTGTGTAGTGTTTTCGATGTATCAGAACTTGAAATTACATTTGTATTTTATATGTTGATGACAATTTTTTTTTTTCTTACAATTATTCAAACTCTAACAAAAACGAGACTGAAGATGAGTTATTACCAAAGACACAAGTTTAGAAGAGATCCTATGGAATTTCAAATGGATTAAAAAAAAACACACATGTTAATCATTAACTACATTTATACCTTAATACAAGTTTTTTTTTATAATAATTTTATGCGTGAAGGGTTAGATGAGTGAAACTCCATGAAATTTTAAATTTACAAAAATAAAAATTTACTCATTCCACCCTTTAAAGTAAATCGTGTGGATTTACCATTTGAGAAAATAGATATGTTTTGGTACTTGTCTAAACAACTTGTCCATAATATGTCTTGGTCAATCAAAAGTTGGCCATTAAAACCTAACAAACAAAAATATCATTTATGGACTAGCTTTTAAGTGTGGTTTCGATGGACAAATTTTAGTGAACAAGTTATGGATAATACCCATTTTAGTACTATATTTTGTAGGTCCATAAGATTTTAAAAGAAAAAATTAAAAACAGAATGAGTAAGTATCCTTAGAAAAATCTAAGTATAACAACAACAAAAGTTTCTTAAACAACATCAAAGAAAACTTAGAAAGAAAAAACAAAATTTCAGACAAACCATTTACAACATGGTAAATGAAAACGATTATGAATTTTAGGAAAAGATTGCCAAATAACGTGTTATATAGAATAACACCATCCAATTTTAAGTAACTTTCGCAAATGACAGAAGTTTTTTTTCTTACTTTGGTTATATACCTAACTAACAACACGAATATACTCAATTATTTTTCGTAACATTGGTTACACGAATCTAGTCTCCCGTATGTATATTAAAATCGAGACAAGTCAACCATTAGACATGTGCCTTGTTTGAAAAATCGCTAGGCGCTAGTCGGGCGTTCGGCATGGGCCTAGCGATTAATCGGAAAATCGGATTAAAATCGGGGATTAATCGGGGATTAGTTTTAGGGTTATTTTAATATTTTTAAAATATATTAATTCAATATTGTTTTCAAAATTACAGTAAAAACAAATTTTTATGATTTTTATTAAAATTTGAACACAAGTTATGTAAAACATCACAAACTCCCAATTCAAATGATTGAATAACAAAAATAAAATGTTTTTTTTTATACTTGCAATCTAAAAAATAATCGGGGTATGTAAGATTAGGCGAAAAATAATCGGATTAGGCGGAAAATAATCGGATTAGGCGGAGAATAATCGGGTTACTGATTTTTTAGGGGATTAGTCATTAATCGAGGCGGAGAGGGTGGGCCTAGCGATTAAGCGGAGAGTAATCGGAACTAGGCGGGGATTTTTAGAACAGGGGACATGTGTAACCAAATTGGTGAGTCATTTATTTTCCTAGTAACCCACTCACACACTCTTAAGAAAAAAGCGCAGATCCAGAGGCAACAATATTCAAACACAAAAAGCCTTGAAATAAATAAATAATTCTTTCAATTATTCATGTTACAAAAACAAAAAGATCACCGACACACAAAAATAAATTAAACAAAATTCAATGGAAAAAACAAAAGAATTAACGACTTTGACGCTTTTATTTCTCTCTTCACTCTCATCATCTCTCTCTCTCTTTCGCTGCCGCTTTGTTACTTTTGTTCGTTCAAATCCCAATTTAGACACCAACGAAGAAGAAGAAGCAGTCTCTGAAACTTCTTCTCCAGATCCGAATCTCTCTCTCATTTCTCCGATCTCTCTATTTGAATAACCTACGATTTCGCATCTTGATCTTGATCTTGATCTCTGTTTCTCTCCTTGTACTGGTGAGTGACTTCTTCGATTCGTTTCTCAGATTTCTCCGATTCCTTCCTCTACCTTGTATCTGAAGCTTCCTCCGAAACTAGGTTTCTCCTTAATACGCTAATTTTGGATTGATTTGAGATTCGATATCGATGTTTGTTAAATCAGATCCATGATTTGTTTTTTAGAAACTCTTTTGATTTGAATAATCACTAATACACTATAAGGCGGCGATGAGAGGGAGATCAGACGGAGGGAAGAAGAAGCCGGTGATTGTTTTAGTCTGCGTTGCATCGGTAGTACTTGTTTTTGTATATCTCTTCTTTGGTTCCTCTAACCATAAAGCATCAGCTATTGAGTATGGAAGGAAACTTGGATTGAGTGGAGATGATGATGATGATAGTATCAAGAAGGATGATACTTCTAGTAACTCGTTTTATGTAGAAGATTTAGGCAATGGTTTCACACCTAGAAGCTTTCCTGTGAGTGAATAGACCTTTTGTTGTGTTGATTGATGATTGAGTTTTAGCAATGTGGTTTTAATATTTGTTGTTAATTCTTTGTAAAGGTGTGTGATGATCGACACTCGGAGCTTATTCCTTGTTTAGATAGGAATCTTATATATCAAATGAGATTGAAGCTTGATTTGTCTTTGATGGAGCATTATGAACGTCATTGTCCTCCTCCTGAAAGGCGGTTTAATTGCTTGATTCCTCCTCCTCCTGGATATAAGGTGGGAATTTTTTATAGCTATGTTGATATGATCGGTGTTTTGAAGCTTTTTTTTTTTGTCTGTTGATATGTTTAGATTCCAATCAAGTGGCCGAAAAGTAGAGATGAAGTTTGGAAAGTGAACATTCCTCATACTCATCTTGCGCATGAGAAGTCTGACCAAAACTGGATGGTTGTTAAAGGAGAGAAAATCAATTTCCCTGGTGGAGGCACACATTTTCATTATGGTGCTGATAAGTATATTGCATCGATGGCAAATGTAAGGAAGTTGAAGTTGCTAGATCTTATGTGCAATAGAGGTGTGTCCATCTTTAATTTTACTGATACTATTCTTGGAAATTTCAGATGCTTAATTTTCCAAACAACGTTTTGAACAATGGAGGAAGGCTGAGGACATTTCTTGATGTTGGTTGCGGTGTTGCTAGCTTTGGAGGTTATCTTCTTGCATC